GGAGGGGGGGAGAAGAGGGGGGGGGGGGGGGGGGGGGGGGGGGGGGGGGGGGGGGGGGTGGGGGGGGGGGGGGGGGGGGGGGGTGATGCTCCTGGCAGCTGATCACTTATTCTCTCTCATCAGTGATGGTTCTGTATCTCCCTCTCCCTTCCTCTCTGAAATCAATAAAAAATATTTTTAAAAAGATGAAGGAATAATACACACTTGTGTATCCACTATCAAACTTAATAAATAAATTATGAATAGAGCTGAAGGACCCTGTCCATCCTTTCCTAATCCCATTCACCACCCCACCCCCAGGCAACTATTTTCCAGAATGTGATCCTTATTCGTATTCACTTCCCTGTGCTCGGACCATATTTATATGAATACCCAAACAATACAGTGTTGCCATGCATGACTTCAAACTTTTCACATTGTCAATATTTTCACACTTAACTTCTATTAGTATTTTATAGTACAGTATACTAGTAGCTTGGGATACCTGAGGCATCACATTCAGGTGATTTGGAGAACTCCACAAAGCAACCAAGTACAGTTGCAATGCAGCCAGCACCAGTCAGCTAACATCAGCCCAGAGCCTAAGAAGAATGCTAAGGTGGCATTTGCGGAACACTCCACTTCCTTATGCTGACAATGAACATTGTGCCAGGACGGCTGTTGGCTCACACATAGCCCTGGCACAAATTAGAAAACAGTGCCACCTCTTGGTCGGCAATCCCAGGCCAAAGGGCGTTGGCTGGTTGGTGAGCACCTATTTGATGGGGGCTCCTGAACAGTGAACAATTTGCACAACAGTTTCCAGCACCCTTGGTATATATCCTTGACTATGTGCCAAGTACATGAATCAACCCACTAATTCTCACAACAGGAATAGGAGGTAAGTACTATTCCTCTCCACCCCAACTTTTTAGATGTGGGATACTGAGGCACAGAGAGATTAAGTAACTTTTTTTCAGGGTCACTCTTGGCAGCTGGCTTCCCCCAGATCAATCAGTCTGGGAGAGAGGAAGATAGAGAGGAGATAGAGAGAGAGAGAGAGAGAGAGAGAGCCTCCATAGTGCCTTTTATGACCTAGTCTCCCATCCCTTCTGCTTTATTCTTTTCATTAGAAGCCAAGCTCTAAGTCACCCAGCCCACACGCAAGGAGAAGCAAATAAGACTACCTCTTGGCGGGAGGAATATTAAAGACTTTGTGGGCATTTCTTAAAAGCACCACACTTCTCAAACCGATTCTGAGGGGACACAGAGCTGGATGAGGTGTGGTCTGAGATCAGGAGGGAGGCGCGAGGCAGCATTCTGCTCCCAGCTCGGTCTCCAACTGTCATTATCAC